AAAATTGAATTAAAAATTACATAAAAAATGAGGAATTTTAAATAGTTAATTTGATACGAATATCGATATATTTTTGTTATGCATAAAATATTGTATATTGATGCATATTACTTAAAATTCAAGATTACAAGTAATTATGCATAAGTACAACTTATTAAAGCTCGATGTTTGAACTCGAATAAATAATTATGGATAAACATAATCAAATAGAGAATGAATATTTCATTTTAAAATATAAAAAATCTAAAATATAATTAAAATAATTATCGAGTTCAAACATATATCAATAAGTATATATACACTATATATATAAATATCATGTTAGATACATATATGTTGCCAAATAATCCCACTTTAGATGAGCCATCATCACCTAAACTGGAAGACTACCTTCACATTTCCTAACCACCAACACCAATATATACACATTAATTATTATATATACATACATACCCTGTAAGTAATTTTAGATATAGTCTATACTGGTAATTAAACACCATTGATATAATTAAGATGGTCGGAGAAGTTGGAGAGACGGCGGAGAAGGGTGGTAGCATACGGAGGTGGAGAATGACGACGGTGGTGCCATTGTTGAGGGTTCTTGCATTGTTTGCCACAGCTGCTGCTACAGTTGCTATGGCTCTTAACAAAGAAACCCACACTTTCACTGTCGCTACCATTGGGAATACACCTGTCAAAATCACCCTCACTGCCCAGTTCCAACACACCCCTGCAAATGTGTAAGTTTTTTTTTTTCCTTTTTTAATGATCAGATATATACCGGAATATCTACATCTGTAATATTACGGACCTGGCTAAAAGACAGAAAAAAACTATCAGATTCAACTTAAATTGACGCAATTGCGACAGTACCACTTGTGGAATTTGATTTTTTTTTTGTCTTTTAACCAGGTCCGTAATATTGCGGATGTGGATATTGCCGACGTTGTGACATTTGAATAAACTCGAGAGAGGAATGATTAGAAGACCAATTTGAATGAGGAAAATAGTTATTTGAGTCAATATTACCATTTTCAACGTATTTTTAGTTGGAACTTTTATACAAAACTGTATCGTGCATTTAGCTTGATAAGCGAATCCTTATATGCCCACTAACACGATTAATAATCGTAATGTTGAATATAAATGCAGAATGTTTGTAATCGCTAATGGTGTAGCAACTCTTTATGGTCTCGTGATGTTAGCACTGAGTTTTGTTATCCATAAGTACAATCTCAAGGGCCCTTGGTTTTTGACTGTCGCTACGTTGGACATGGTAACTTCTACTCAAATCTTCGTATACGATAATATTATATCTGATTCAAGTTATTAATATCATATATATATATATATATAGAGAGAGAGAGAGAGAGAGAGAAAGAGAGGTTCAGAGGAAAACCTTAAAAAATGAAAAATTGAGGAACGCTCTAATAACCGTTCATCTAGACAGTATGTACATGTGCATACAAGTAATTGAAACAAGTACTGCAACTGCATACAAGTAATTGGAAAAATTGCTTCCAAATTACTTGTATGCACGTGTGAATATAGTTGAGATGAAAAATTACTAGAATGAACTCTCAACCAATACAATTCAATCTCAACTGTCCATTTAATTTGATGAATATGTGATTTCACAAAAGTTTTGATTGTTTCCTAATGTAAAGTATTGATCATAATTAATGAACCCTACTCATTTTCCATAAATATTCAAATCATAATAAATGAACTCTCATTATTTTTATAAATATCTCAATTGATTGGTTGTACAAATGTGACGGGTTGCATTTGAAACGTCATCTCTCTCTATATATATATAATCATTGGTAATGAGCTAAAACTGACGATATTTGATGTTGGTGGTGGGTGATGTTAGGTGACGATTGCAGTCGTATCAGGTGCTGCGACTGCGGTTGCTTTCATGGGGGAACTAGCAAGAAACGGCAACTCTCATGCACGTTGGAACAAAATATGTGACAATTTCCAAAGATATTGCAACCAAGGATCTGGAGCCATGCTTGCATCTTATATCGGGATCTTCTTCCTCATGCTCGTCAACATGGTCCACATCTTTCAACTTAAAAGACTCAACAATCTTAAAAATGCTATAGCTGCATGATCGATGTGTTAGTTACGTATTCATGTGTGTCATGTATCAATGGTTTGTAAATGAGCTTTGTATCTTTCGTATTGTGCTTTTTCGTTCCAAAATGTATTAGTTTACTATTTCGGCTATCTAGAAGTTAATATCAGCTTGTATTTGGGTCTCCAAGGTTCATGCAAAACACCCATTCAGATATATAACGATCAAAATTTCAATCTTTTGAGCAGTGGCGGACCCGGAAATTTGCTCAACTAGTAGACCTTTAAAAGTCCATAAAGTCGCAATTTGACCCCTTCAAAAGTCAATTTTGTCGATTTAGAGAATAAAATACAAATTTTCAAACGGAACTGTCCTTTTGAACAAGATGCAAGACTACGTCGTAGACATATGCTTTATGTGTTTTAACTGAATTCCACCGTTTTAAGGGACTTTTTCGGATTTTTGTTGATTTCGTACTATTTTCTAATAACATCAACACGATAACAACTTATGTCTAGGTAGGATTTGAGCAAATTTGAGGGGTTGTTGTAGATGGTAATTGATTTGGTATAAAATAATTTAGAGGCCTATATAATCTATTGTCGAATCAAAAGCAATTGTTTATCAATATCTTGAATCGACCATCATATCAGTTAAAATAAAAAATTACTATTATGACCTTAATTAATAAAAGTTGATTGTTAGAAAAATATCTAAAGTAAATAGTGCACAAAACCAAATTATGTTTTGAAATTAAACATAAAAATTTAAAACATATTTGGATAAAAATATATTCTTGAATCATTGGTTTATAAAATATATAATTTAATAAAAATAGAGCTTAAAATATTTTCCAATAATAAAAAATCAAAACTAAAAAAAAAACCCTACTAAACATTGTCTATAAAGTGTTTTCATATGATCGTTTATCAAACGTTTATTGGGTAAGTGTTTATGATAGATGTCAACGTTATTAGAAATAATTTCTACTTAAAACAAAACTTTGATCGTGATAGCAGTAAGTAAGGTCAAATATACAGGGACGAGTTAGACTCGTTTTCTGTGCTTAAAACATAAATTAAATTAAAAGAGGAGAGAGTTTGATGTGGAGATTAAGCGGGTGTTTGGGGTTGCTTATTTAAAACAACTTATATTTTTCTATAAAAGTGTTTATCAACTTATTATAAATTAGAATGGTTTAACTTCTTCAAAAAACACTTTATTACCGGTTTGACACCGGTATAAACTGTTTATCCAAACACTCAAAAGTGCTTATTACCGGTGTCACACTGAAATAAGTCAATAAGTTGTTTTTATAAGCAATTCCAAACACCCCCTACAACTATTGCAAATTTAAATAAGAAAATAAAGATGTAGGATGAATTCAACGACGAGAAAGTATAGAACAATCAAGTTAATATCAAAATTGATCAGCCGGTTGATTGTTGACACCAAAAAAGAAAAAAATGATCCAAAGCTTTCCAAATTGGTTATAGTTATTGGTACGATCTAATAACTTACTTCTCCTTAACTTCTCGATAACCACGAGACGCTCATAAACCATTTCTCTAATTGATAAGCAATCCTAGAAACGTTCTTAGGAATTGAGTATCAATAACATTATAGTTTAGAGAGATTACCAGTTTTAGCCGACAAGATGTACGGTAAATTGTTTAGACTAGGTTATCTATCCCTAGAAAATGAACTTTCAACATTCGTTTATTTTCTATCAATACTAGAATTTCCAGATAATTACAGATCATTAATATATACACATCAAGTAGAATTGTTAATCAATTAAACATTTTTTGTTTGTTTATAATCATATATATATATATATATATATATATATATAGAGAGAGAGAGAGAGAGAGAGAGAGAGAGAAAGGACCATGCGAGAAGTTAAACATTGGTCGGTCAAATCCTTTACCTTTAGACTTAATGAAATTGGGCCACAAGCAAGTATACAATACGGCCCAACGTCGTCTTTCCAAGTAATAAAGTGGTACAAGTACCGGAATATCGTCCACAGGGATTGGAGCAAAAGTTAAATTAGAGTGAAATAAAAGAGATGATTTCAGATGACGAAAACAAAGACTTTAGTTTGATTTCGAGTTAACACAGGTAATATAACAGAATAATAAAGCGGAATAATAAAGCAGAGTAATAAAGGTAGCACGGGTGTAAGATTTAGGGGTGAAACGTAAACACGAGATCCAATAGACAAAGTTCAGAAAGAACCGGTCCCAGGTATTCCTCTCGGACTTCAC